TATTCAGCAGTCCCTTAAGTTGAAAAGGCATCACAAATGGTAACACATTTGAGGAGTTTCTGCTAGAGCTCAGGGCAGAGGGATCCACCTGCACCAYACCATAGGCCTGAGCAGCACCGCGTGTGCTCCTCCCCGCTCCAAACCACGATACTGAGTTCTCCTGTTTGTTAGCTATCTGCACACGCAGCTCAAGCTGTTCCTAGAACCAGAGGCAAGAAGCCAGAAAGGTCCACAAGAAACCGCCAGCACAACTGCTGGGGCCACGGCCGCCTGCGTAACCCACGCTGCTTGGCCCAGCAAGCCAAGCCTTGCMAGCCTCCCGAGTGATCCTGGAAGCTCAACTGCTTGATTCCCTCCAGAGCCAGAGGCCAGGGATGTTGGGCGAGCTGGGGACAGCCTGCACAAAGCAAAAGCTTCGTCCTTTTGTAACCTGCCTGAGCTGCAGGACCATCTCAGGAGCTAGAAGCTTTACCTGCTTCTCCAAGCATGGGCTAGCAGTGGATTTATTCTGCCAACACTAGCTTCTCCACCTGATGGTCATGGGCAGACCTGTGATGGAGAGAGTGCCCCTTCACTTGTCCTCCTTGGACTATAGCCTAACTATCCAAAAGCTTCTGTGTATGCTGAAAAAGGAGGCATTTTCCCCGCGAATTTCAAGCTGGCACCTGAATGACACGCTCAAGAGCCCAGTCCAATACTCTCAACACTGGAGACTTGAACTGCCTTTGGAATCCACAGGAGATACATCGGGATCCTGTTGAGCTAGTGATGAACGTAATCTCATCCTTGGCACATGGAAGCAGCAGATGTAACTAACTGCACAAAGCCTTAGAGCAAGGAGAAGCCCACCAGTCTGGGAGAAGATGGGAAGTTCTGGAACAGCCTCAAAAACAGGAGCTTATAGAGTAGGAACGTCATTTGGGTGAATGCCCCTCACACTGGGGCATAGGTGGACAGCTGTGCTGCTGCACACTCCTCCCCAGACAAGTACCCTCAGCAAGAGAGGATTCAGGACTGGCACACAWAGACCTTGACAGCACTAATAAAGCCAGACCCAGCCAATGGTCCAGAAGGATTCCGGGGTGACAGACACAATCGTGCACGTTCATAGGGACTTTACAACAAAGAGCACTCAYGAAGCAGTTTAATGTGTGACACCAGCTTCTTACAGGATTGGTGACAAGGAAATAACCAGTTGACACAAGGATTGCTAAAACTAGTCTGGTTATGGTGGACAAACAGATCATCTCCTGAACTACTTAAAGGAATTGCAAACTTTCCCTAAATAACCATATGGATCGGCCACCAGGAGTCTGACTCCAAACCTAAGGTTCATTTTTTCTTTCAGTGCCTACGTCAAGGTAAAACACTATTTTTGGCTATTAAATATTTAATWCCACAGCGAGAGAGGAGAAGCTGACAGATGGTCACTGCGCAGCAGGTCTCTGTCTCTTTTTTGGCGGGGGGAGATGCGTGTGAAAAAGTTAAAGGAATAGTCACAACACCTACATTTCCAATAGGAACAAAATAAACCCATGCACTATGCCAGAGGACAGGGTCTGGAGGAGAATAGGAGGCTCCTACGATCAACTCTTAAGCAACAGCTGCATTTGCAAGGCTATGAGCAAACCGTGCCTTGCCAAGCAGCCTGTTGGCTGGTCCGCAGCTGCTCGTGCAAGCTGGCATCGCCGTGTCTCATCCATGTGTCCAAGCACTCCCYACCTTCCCTCTGCATCTCCTCTCCCAGCACAAGACGATCTAGAGGCAGAGTGAGATCTAGAGGCACCTGAGCTGGCAATTCAAGCAGCTTAGGGGGGTTGCTTTCAAAAACTTCATTTCTATCAYGGCATAGAAGCAAATTTCCCTCCATGTGAAGGGGAAAAGGACAAAGCTTTTTGAGAACAGTGATTTTCTCCCACTATGGGGAGCATTGAAACATCAGAGCTGGTGCCTGTTCCTGCAGAATCACATAAGAAATGTCAATCAGCTGGTTGCTCCTTCACCAAGAGTATCTTGATCTGCTATTTGCAGAGATATTAAATTCTGTTTTAGCGAGAGTAACATTCAAACAGTTCAGTTCCCTTTAGCAAACTTTTCACTGCCCCAGTGTATCTTAATCAAGTGTGAAATATGTCTTAAGGTTCATGGGAAAGCCAAATTCAACTTCGCACTAAGCTAATCCAAGCTGACCAGTGATCTTTACTGGGCCACGTGGCAGATAAAGAAGCTGGTGCCAATGGGAGGGAACAGATTCAGTGTCTTGTCAGAGAACTCTTTAAACATAGATGCCAATGGCACAGCTGGCACTGGAAGCTGCAAAGGGAAGACAAACAGCACAGTGTGATAGCTTCCCACTCCATTCATGTGGGAACATCTAGAAGGGACGTTCAGCCCTGCGATTAAGTTTTGACTGAACCTTCAGTTATTGAGCTGTTTGCAATGCTACTCAACTCTAGCAAGGGAAAATAGACCAAAGAACGTGAAAGCAGACTAACTCCACTAGTCTTTGGCTATGGGAATACGCGAAGCAGATAACCAATATACATCCTCCAGATATTTATCTCTAGAATTGCTTTAAAAGTAGGGAAACACCCGAAAACAAGTATTGTATGCAGTATAGGGAAAGAGATACAGCAGTGCCAGACTCCCAAGTCATCATTACAAAGCCAGTTTAAAGCTCTCCCCAGAAGCATCCTGTCTGCCTCTAGCGTGGTCAAGGACTCCATGCCTCCTTAACAACACTGGATGGGCTTCTACAATAAGCAGTAAACGCAAATGTGAGCATCACAGAGCCCTGGAACAGGTTGCCAAGAGAGGTTGTGGAGTCTCCTCTGGAGGTCTTCAAATTCTGCTTGGATGCAGCCTGTGCCACGTGTTTAAGATACAGAGTTTGAGGGTAGACTGAAGTTGTGCTTCTCGATTTTGTCCATCACTAACAAACTGTGACCCAGCTTTTCAGCAGCCTTAACATTTTACTGTTCCTTGGAAAAGCTGGCTGCCACAAAACACTTCTTTCCAGGCTGGTCTACACAAACAACATCCACACACTGACAAAAAAAGCCTACAAGAAGGTTCCCTTGGATTTACACTAAGCTGGTCCCTTTTAAATTGCATGTTCCTGTAGTTATTACATAAGATTAATACACTTTTTAAATGTTCACTCTGAACATTCAGGGAAGAGGAAACTGTCATTGACATTCCTCTCATTGAAATTATATATCTATATTGCACATACAAAYGCTGCAGCAAAAGCAGCTGAGGGCAATTTTGACTTCTCATGAGGATACAGCTCACCGAGACCACCTGGGTGCCGAGGCAGTTGAACAAAGGAGCTCTATTAGCTACTGCTCAGGTTAGCAGTGGGAGATTCAGAGTCAACCACATTAGCTGGCAAGATGACCTGGCTGATTTACTGAACAGTCCGTGGCACGCAACGCTACTGCTGTTTGCAACTGAGTCACGCACACTGCGGGTCTGGACACCTTCGCTCTTCGCTTGGTGAGTCCACGATGATTCGAAGCAACCAGATTTGCTTATGGGAAGCTAAAGGCCGTCTGTTTCGACGGTTGAAGTCAAAGCAAGATCATCAATACGTTAAGGGGGGCCTGGCACTAACCTCCCTGAGAAGGGACCCAGCTATTCAAAGTCGGAGCATATTCAGCCCCAATCTGTTCTTGCAGCCAGCCAGTTCAACCCCAGTTCTCAACGAGATGCCTACGGAGCACACTGCGCCTCCGTGGCCGTGGGACTCCACCAACATTTATTTTGCTAAGCTTCCAACGGCTCTCATTGTCCACCCGAGCTTCTGGCCTCCTTCCAGGYGTCTTAGCAAAGCTGTAGCTCAGGAGCTCCTAATGGAAATAAACAGATTTGCAGAGCTGGGTTGGCATGCCAGTGGGACCACATACATTTAGAGACAAAAGTCGCGTCCTTTKTAAGGCCTCCAAGCTGTCTCTTGATAAATATTGCCAAAGGGGGACAGATGACAGTCATTCCCCTACAGAAGGAGCGGGAGAGAGAGGCTGAAGGTTTTGTGTTAAAGAAAGCCTAGGATCAAGTCACAGACGCAGGTAACTTGTGCCAGCACAGGCCTGCAGCACCAACAAATGATGGTTTGAGCAGTGTGGAAGATGTGAGAGTGCATCCTCTGCAAGTGGAAGCTGGATCCACGCATGGAAAAGGAAACAAAAGACAAGAAATCAGAAAAAAACTGCAAAAGAAAAAAAAAAAGAAAAAAAAAAGGAAGCTTGTCAAGAAAACAAGGTCAATATATTAGCAAGGCACAGAAGGAGCGGAGGGAAGATCTTTGCTTCGAGATGCTGCTTCACGCAGTGCCTTGTCAAGGCTGTGGAAATCACAGGGTACACGCTAACAGTCTATATAGGTTTAAAAATYACCATAAATTCATGGAAGAAAAATCCAGACACAGACGCAAGCTCAAGTCGTATGATATAGAACTGGAGAACTCACCAAGAGGAGAAAAATAATCACCATGAGCTTATTCTAATATATTCTTCCTTCATGTTTGCTAAGGACATGAGGTGACCACATGGGAGGACTTTTGGACACACTTACGACTTCTCAAGCAGCAAGGAAAACACGACATTTTGATAATTACCAAACTCCTAYGCTTCTTACACAAATTCCTGTATTTTAAGGCTTCAAATCGTCTTTCTGTAGTCTGCCATGTTATGCACAAATAGCCCAAACAGCCCATTCAAGGTTTTCATGTTTTAAGAACACATTTCTGTAGGTAGTGCACATGTCATTCAACCCTCACCAACATCGTAGCCAGTTCATTAAAGAGTTCCTAGGTCCACATAACATCCAATGCCATCAAGATGTTACTCTGACCAAGTCTCTTCCAAAGGCTGGTATGGGACTTCAAGAACTTGCCCAAATCAATAAAGTTCAGGCTGAAATTACGTAACAAACACGACAGCATCATTTGCTAAAATAAAATCACATACTTTTTAGAAACTTATGGTAGGTTTACTTACCCGCACTTCCAAGTTGCTTATAAAATCGGTACTCTAAATGAAGCTGTGGTGCACGTGATTTTATTGGTTCCTAAAGCAGGGGAAAAAAAAAAAGTTGGTTATATTCTGACTGAAAAACAACAACAACAAAAAACAGCAACAAAAGAACATAAACAATACTTGAGTTTTATGACTACTCAGCATTTGAAGTTGCAAGATGATCTAGTCTGGGTGAAGAGTCCAGCAACAGAATGGACTGTTAAAAATTATTCAAATAAGCAGAGGACAAAAGACGAACAAAAACTKGCTTTATGTGCTACGGAGGGGCTTTTCTGGCATTTGCCAGGGGATTCCTGGCATATCCTGGCAAAATTCCTGGTTCTTCAAAGATTCCCAGTCTTTGAAGAACGACCCTGAACACCCAGAACATTCACATGAGGAAAGCCAAGGATGTAGAACATTAAGACACATGTCCAGCACTTCTGGCTTGTTGACCTGGAGTACTTTTGATGGTCACTAGTCTGCATTTTAGAAAGATATTGAGTCAGACATCCCTGTTTTCAGTTATGTCRTGGTTGTAAAAAGCCCTATCTGTTAAGGTTCCCCTTTCAGTATCAGCTGTCAGTCAAACACCACAAACCAAAAGGACTATTTTCATAAATGGAATTAAAAAAATAGGGATGGGCTACTTCTCTCGAGCCCCCACGACATTTCCCGATTGTCGCTCATCAGCTCTTCACGCACAAAACTTCACGCCTGCAGTCTATAAAAGCATTAACACGCACCATTACAAAGCTTCTGGAAGCACACAGTTAACAAGGAAAGCATTAASAGACCCGAGTAATTAGGTTTTCAGCAACACCGGGCACTTGGTAAGACAGCACTGCTGACTCAGCTCTTGCCTACACATCTTTTAATGGAAATTAATACTGGCCTCGCTTTTTGTCCGTGCATGTTACCTACGTTTCTTGCATTTCAGAGGAGAAAGGCCCCATGCTCAAAACTTCACCAAAAGATTGCTATCGTGGCAACAAAATYAACATATTCATTGTCTGAATTTCAGAAACGTGCTAAAACTCCTCCTRTTTGGAAGCTAAACCACTGCCTAACAGAAGTTTGCTCCTCAGAGGAGCCACCAAAGATTAGCAAAAATCTCTTGGATGTCCTGCATCTGCACCAGTAAGTGACAAGAAGAGCATCTCAAGAAGGCGCAACGTGGCCAAGAGTTTGAACTGCCATCTCCAGTATGCTGGAATAACAGTTTTGTCCACACTAAGACTGATCCATCCATCTTGCTTCACCCACAGTCTACATGGCAAGACTTACGTGGAATTCAGGCCAACTCAAGGCCTCAAGATGTCCTTTTAAGTCAGAATAAAGATACCGTACAAGAAACCAGGCAATTTCAACTTGCAGCCAAGCTGCACCTCTGTTTTCCATCACAAAAGACTCAACCAACCCAAAAACACCACGTTGGTTGCTTCTGGGCTTTCTGATATTAAACGTTTGGAAGTTAAAAGTTGTTGYTTAGAAAACAAGTGTCAAAAAGCACTCAAGTTATATTGAGGGCAAATATAAAGCAACACTATCCAGTCTGTTATCCAGATTAATGCAGATGCCTTTGATTAAGAAGTCTTCGGACACCTCCAAAGCCAAGGGATCTAGAGCAACAGAAACTCGSGCCATTCGGTGACTTCAGGCTGGTAGGAGGATTAGTGTACGGGACMCAAAGTTGCTTTGTGGCAAAGTAGGGGACAGTAAGCCATGCCCAAACAGGTCATCTCCTGCCCCAGGAGGCATTGGAGAAATGAGCTGGAGCTCTGGACACGTGCCAGAGTTGTGGCAGCATCCGGGAAGATGATACCAGAACAGATGGCTGTAAGCAAAGGGTTTAAGGATGCTGGCAGATGTTGCCTTTGTATCGAAAAAAAAATAACTGAATTACTGCCTAATGGACAAAACAGCCAGGCACTGTGATTACCACCCTTTGGAGGTACATGGTCATGCAGCTCCTGTGCTCAGATTACACCTTCATTTTGTGCAAAGAAAACAACCCTTACCCCGTGCAACGTAGCATTAGAAACCCTCAGAAGATTAAGCTAGTAWATATGGCCACTGCGCTCCAGAAGACAAAATTCTTCATGAAGCAGATGCCTCTCAACCAAATAATCTTCAGCTGGAAGAAAGGAGCTATGAGCTCCTCAAGGTAGAAGCCAGACAGTATTTTGCACCACGAGAGCAAGATCCAAGAGAGCTGCAGCAATTGCTTGTCCTCAAAGACAAACCAAGACAAATGTGCAGCAAATTTTACAGGTTTCTTGAGCAGCTCCTCGGCATCTATCACAAAAGTCTTAATTTTCTCATTTAGCTATATGTTCTTTGATCAAGCCTCAGGATGGCCTATARGAAAGAAGCACTCGTCAAATTAGTTCATTAATTGCATCCTCCTCCTATCCAGAGCTGAAGGGCTGCCACAAAGAACTAAGTTTCAGCTCTCSAAGGAAATACTTCCCCCTCTCACATTTGCTGCACAGTTTTGATGAGGAGTAATTTCCCGCACAATGTATCAACGTGGAGAAGTGAGGAACCCTTGGTGTTTGGCAGCACGTCGTTCCTTAAGAGGAGGAAAAACACAGTGCAGTATTTGCAAGTGAGAAGGCAGAGAATATGGTCTCCTAGGGGACATGATCTAAGATTGGGAGACAAAAATCTTTGCTAGAACCCGCTTGCTCTCCTCCGCACATATCCTGCGCTACAGCAACTGCAAGTGGACACGTTGCACGGACGGCCAACAAATGAGGGATGAGAAATGCTGAAGTACCAAACGCAGTAGCGCCAATAAAACTGGAGTGTGATGGAGTGTCGCTGCTTTCGCACACGGCCACTCAGATAACGTTTTGCAAAACATCATGAAGAAAAGACYGGGTAACATTGAACACCTAGTAGTATGAAAACACCATTATTTTGTTGTCAAAGCTGCCTCAGGAACAAGCTACTTGASAAGCATCACTCCTCCTTCCCTATACACATTCCAACATGGATATATAGAATCCACTGCAGGCATTTCATTTTTAGTGAAGATCTTCTGACATTTGCCAGCGGGAAGCTTCAAAAATGAAGCTCTTGCAAATGAAGTACTCCTGCAAAATACTAAYTATTCTCCTCTACGATGCATCATATTAATGAGAGCAGTAGAAGGGGGAGATCTGTGGCGCTTCAACATGAATCAGAATTAAATATGCCAAGTCCATCTTGATCTTCTCCAAACTGAAGGATTCCTGTCATTTCGCCAGACAGCATTAGATGGACAAATGGGCATTTTTGCGGTGAGTACCAAATTAGCACAACTACTTTTATTTAAACTTCTTGCTTCTGGACCTGTGATAAAAGAGCACTGGGTRTATTTTCAGTCAAACACTTCAAGTTTCAAAACCCCCAAAGACTAATGAAAGTCTTAATTAACAGGAAAGTTGAGGCATAAAAACAAACTACTGGCGCGTGGTTTTCTGAGCTAAGAATTAGAGAGCTTCTCCATCCCTTGGGCTCAGACTTCAAACACCACTGTTGACCACCATGTCTCTGTGCTCAGAAGTGGCCATCAAAAAAAAAAAAAAAAAAAAGGTTTATCTGATCAATTTGCTGCACTGTGGGAACATGAAAGTGGCCATCACATGTGTTCGGGGAGGGCTACATTGCCTGCAGAATAGATGGGATGAGAACTCAACTGCTTGCACAAATTCTGGAGTCTGCTACTGGAATCCGCTAYTGGAAGGGCTTTACATCATTCCTGCAATGATCTGTTTAGATGATGTGATTCATTGTCACCATCTCCTAACACAGGGCAAAAGAGAAAACGTCATTCTGAAGACATTGGAGTCCTCTACCCTTCCCTATCCAAACGTGCTAGATGAAGGTTGACCTTTGGCAGGTTGCATCTTGTTTTGGCTGTTGCTTCTGCAGCCTCTCAGCATTACACCAGACTAAGTTGTGCTGTTCCCCAAAAGCAACTTCTCACTGCTGAAACTCCCCCTTTTTCCTGACTTTCAACTCCGAAAACACAGAGCAGCAACACAGTGGTGTGCTCTAACCAACAGTCCACCTAGGGACCAGCTAAGTGCCTGGAAAGTGGATGGAGTCCTGAAGAGAAATACTCGATCCCATGGACTTGGAAGCTGCAGGAAACCTGCAATTGCTGCTATTCCCTGGGACCCAGCAGGTCAGCTTGGAAAAAGGGACAAGGCAAACACAAGTGTAAGACAACTAAGGACCATTTATTCCCCTCAAATGGTGGTTGTGTTGATTTTAGAACCACATCAAAAGTTAGTATCTGAGCTTCATTAAGTTATTCTAGCTGATGTGAGAGCAGCCTTAAGCCCAAAGGGAGAGAAAGCTCTTCCTGTACTTAACACTAGAAATGCTGCCAAGCCATTCAAGAGCACGTGAAACTTCTACTTACCAGTTTGATCGCTACATATTCATTGGTGTAGAGATTTTTGCCTGTGAAGAAAAAAGAAAAATCTTTTAGTTCTGCACTGAGCACTTCCAGTTTGAGAGACAGCTCGGGASAGCTTCTCGACCATCGCTGAGGGCAACGAGCTGTCTGTCTGCTCGCCATTAGACACTGACGTTTGTGCCTCTAACAAAGTGCAAGACTCAAAATAATAATAAGCTGTAGGCAAACATGATCTTCCGTTCAGCTTMAGGTACCCTTTGATACCTCACATAGCACTCGTGCTCCATACAAGCATTTGAGAAGGCTTCCCCCATAAGTAACATTTATTATCCATAACGTGCCAGAAAAGTTTGGGGAACAAGAAAGCAAGAATCTGACTTGCATTTCTTTCCAAAGCAAGAATACGACTCATATTTCTTTTCAGAAAAGTCTGGATTCTGCTGGACATGGGACAGTTTGATCCAAKATCTACAGGGGACTCCACCAGTCTAACTGCACAACGTATCAAGGGGATTCTTGCAGGTGGGCAAATGAAAATAACCTTTGCACCAACACAGACCTTTATTTCTTCCTCTGTGATCAGTGTACATCAAAGGTCTCAGTAGGTCAATCAGGCCTCAATCTAATAAGGCCAACGACTGCCAGGGGCAATGTAGGTCCAATGAACTTCACAACTGTTCCCAGCGTGTCAACAAATACACTATAGACAGAACAAAATCCATTCTTGGCACTCCAAGAATCCCCAAAACATGGAGCACAACAGTATTTGCCCTTTCTCCAAGCAAGCACCGTGGCTTGCAGCACGCAGAATTAACTCCGTTATTGCGGACTGAGGATTTGCTAGGCCAGCACCAGTTCTGGCAGCACCCGGGATGGGTTTTAACAGGCAGGCSTGTAGCTGGACCTTCTCACCATCTCCATGCTCCAGTAGCAGTAAACTGCGTCTGAGGGACACCAAGCCAGAACTACCATGCTTGGGGTCAATAGCTCCAGGTGAATTTTGACTCCCCGAATTTGGCTGGTGTTTGAGCCAAGCCTTTGGCCTCCTTAGCGATCTCTGGCAGAGACCCACAGTCTCACCTGTCAAGAAGCATCTCACTTTGCACGTTCTGAAACTGCCRATTATCGTTATCAATCAACATGCTCTTGTTCCTCTACTAGGAAAGTCAAGCAATCGCCTTCACCTTCTCCACACTGCTTGTATTGACAAATGCTCCTGGAAGGAAGATCCCTTGGGAAGGATATCTAGACAGCCCTCGTATGGCAGCTGTCTTGTACCCCTGACATCTCTGCTGTCTTCTTCTGACCTCCTTGAGTCCTACCGTACCAGGGAGAGCTCCTTGTGCATTTACACACACGCCTACTGTTCCCAGCACTGCTAACTCGCGTTACTTTACAGGGCAAGGAAGTCATGTTCTCATGGGACAACTCAGCAGAGCTCCAAAATTCACCAGCAACTAATCCGAGAAGTTCAGCAGTGCTGGTTGGTACCATCGGTTTTGCYGGGGTCTGTTAGGCAGCTGTTCGGATTCTTGCAGTAGGCACCGGGGCTCAGGAGGCTACATTAGCTACTGAGGAAGTCCACCACAAAGAGCAGCATACTTCTAAGCAGCTAGAGATGTGGGAAACTTAGCATATCTAGGAGGCATCATCAAACACCATGCCCAGCACTCCCTCATGTACACGTATTCTTTGCACAGAGCAACAACACTGGAAAACGCAATAAATCTAAAGATGACTGTTGATGCTTTCTCATGCTCTTAAAATCCAAAATACTTACCAGGAGAATTTCTTATCCTTCTCTCTCCTCCCTACCCCTTGGTATCATTATTGGCTTCTTTTGAGAGAGTTTCTCCTAGCTGATTTTGATACTTTTCTGCTAATTCAGGTTAGTTTGGGCCTGCAGTCTGCAAATAGGACATTCCTGATATAGGTCCCACATTGAGCAGATGGCTTTAACGTTCACCAGGAGGTCCCATAGTTTACCAGAAGATGGGCACCTCGACTTGTAACAGCAACTAGCAATGCTGTTTATACTTGGCACAGGTCAGACACTTTATGGTGAGGTTAACTAGCCTAAGAAGAAACGTTTTATGCAAAACGTCACGTTTCACAGCACTAACCCTTGTAGCAGTTGTTTTTAGTAAAGGGAATCTACTGCTTCTTAGCTCTTTCACGACAGAAAAACTAGGTTTTGCCGTCACACCAGGAAGACGTAGATGTTGGAAGATGGCTTCTAAGCAGAGATTGGGAGAGTGTGAAGGCCAAACCTGCAGGAAGGCAGATGGCAAGGAGCCAGGGAAGGACTGCAGTCCAATACCATCCGAGGACAGCGGGAGGGAGAACATGCAAGGACATTAAGAGAAGGCAGCCTGAATATGCTCAGTTCATCTGCTCCGTGTTAGTCGTATCAGCAGCTTCAGCCAGAGCTTGCCCATCAACACTTACCCCTCCTTCAAACGGGGAATATATCAAGATGCTCAGCTGGAAGACCCACCCAAGAGAAGCTCCTGCCCATCTAAAGCGGAAAGTTAGATGCTCTAAACAGGAAAAGGTCTGAAGCAACATGGGAATAATGTCCCCCTCCGTCTCCCATGGACTAACACATCATGCCCAGCACCACAACCTAGGACCAACACCACATCAAGGTAGTTTTGTCACTTGAAGTGAAGGGCTATAATGACAATCAAGAAGTGATGACCCACAGACCTCACATTACCACTCGTGCTCTCCCATCTAAATGGGATAATGGTACTGGGAAAATACTGTACAGTTTTGGCCATTATCCACCCAGTTATGGCCCATTTGGGAAGGCCAAGAATAAGCAGAGGCCAGATTTGATAATGAAATTCCTCATTTCATAAAAAAAGGCATCAGCAAAACACTGGTATAAATCCCCAGAGAAGTCAATGGACTCAATAATTCGCCTTCCAATCCACCTGCTTCCGTGCAAGGAAATGGGGAGGACAGTCTGAACATCCAAATGGGTCCAGTTTTTGAACATCAGACCCTTCTTACTGCTCCAAGGGAAGACGCTTGCTTGGCCAGTTATCTTTTGCAGAGAGATCAAAGCAAAGGCCCTTGACACCTCACTACGGCCTCACTCCAGACCAAGCTCATGATCGACCCTTCAGTTTTGCTATCATATTGTTGCCCAAGGTGTAACGGTTCTTCCCTGCTCCTTACCGGGCAGAACAGAGAGGAGAAGGTGAGTGGTAAGGCAGCCTGGCTTGCAGGACAACATTAAGCTGCGTGGTAAAAATCAGCTGCGAATGCAAGTTGCCCCTTATYTTGGGAAGACAAGAGCTTTGCTGCAACTTGGAGGATTTGAGTGTGCTAGCAAGCCTTTCAARTTCAAGCAAGGCTTCAGATGGAGCCTGAACGCCTCGGTTTTTGGGTAGTTCCACTGACAATTACAACCTCTATATTGTGAACGAGAAGCGAGGCATTAAGCCACCAGCGTTCACGTGGGAAACGGAGCCGAGTGGATTTCTCAAGCCCCGGCAGGGCGATGCACGAGGCGCTGGCTGCCCGGCCGAGCTGCAGGCGGGGAGAGCAGCCCAGCACCACGAACCTCCTGAGCGCGGCACTTCCAAAGTCTTAACTGAAGAGCCCCAAGTGCAGCCCTTCTCTCACGACCCCCACGAATTAAACGCTCATCCTTCAACCTGGTCTGTCTCAGCATCACACGGACGATGTGTTTCGATGATGGACCAAGGCTGCCAAGCGGAGCTGGTCCAGTTCTGGTTTACAGGGAACAATGGTTATTTTCACATTAACTTGGGGATGGAGATCCAGGACATCACACAGGCAGAAGCTGCACTATAAAACACCCTACAGACCAAGCAGAGCTTATTCCAGGCAGTGCTGCACCTGCAGAGAGACCATGTCCCAGAGGCATCAGCCTAAACAGGAGTTCACAGGAATTCACAGGAATTTTGTACCATGCTTGTCCTCCTTTCCAGGCACCTATCTTTCCAAACAGCACTTACAGTCCTACATATGATGTGCCACCATCYGCACTGTTTGGGGACACTGGGAAAATAGCATTTGAAGGGGCGTATTTATCCCTAATTTTTTCATGGTTTGGGATTTTGGATGAATAGAGCTGTAAAAGTGGGCATTAAACCTGTCCAAGGTTGTTCTGATTTCAGAGGTTTTGTAGGGGGCACACAAGAAAAAAATCATTCTGGGAGTCCGTGAGTCAATATAAGAGGTAGTTCATGGTGCTCAATTAGCCATGGCCAATACAGAGCACCTGTTTAYCCTAATTAACAAAAAATCATTAACATCTATTTTCATACTAACTTGGGGTGGAGACKCAGGGCATCTCCAAGGAGATTAAAATTAAAATTGTGAGTATCCTCTGCTTCACAGGAGATATAATTGGGCATCTCTCCGGGAAGCTGCACCATGATCTCGAGGCCTCCTCAGAGCGTGGTTGCACACAAGGCTGCCATCCCACACAACTGCACAGAGGTCCCTCCACCTCCACGCATGGCCTCATCTCTGGCACATTTCAGGCTCCTTCAGGATCCAATTGGCTTTAAAAGTGACTTTTTTTTYCCAAGAAGTGGTCAGAGTTTTCTACCCTCCTGACAAGGCAAACCAGACCTCCTGCTTTTTGCTGGCACCAAGAGCCTAGGGAGATTCAGCTACTTAGGAGAAAAAAAAAATCCATTTTTTACACAGCAGCTACYCCGCAGCCTTCAGACCAGCCACTGATTTTTGCTTTCATCCCTTTCCCACTTGGTTCATCTTCCTAGCCCAAATCCTACCGTACTGCTCCCGTGTGACTCCAAAAGCTCCAAAACCAGTATCCTTGGGGCTATTTATTTGTAGCAAGGGAGACCAGCCCTAAGCAGCTAGCTTGACATTTGCAAGAAACAGCTTCATGATGTGACATTATTGCCTTTCCTCCGCCCAAATGACGGGTCCCWGGGTGGTCTGGCACGTGCTCACACGAGAACGTGAAACACGCCACCTGAAAGGGGCAATCCTTGGGAGAACTGCAAAAATACATTTTGCCCTTGTTCAYCGGTCTGCAGCCCGTGCGTGACTTTGCTCTTCCTGTGTTTACTCAAAGCGCTCGCTGGTGCCTTACATCTGTGAAAACACATGAAAAAAAAAGGCCAAAAAGAGCAWAGGGGGGCATGCCATGCAGGACAAGACTGCTTTCACACTCGCCTGCTCGTGTTTTGGACACGCTGCTTCTCCTTCCCCGCAGCACGATTCAGCAATAATTAGCATCACATCTGAGCAAAGGGGAGGTGCTGAAGCTGCAACGTCCAGCAAACGGTTAAGAGCTTGAAGCAATGCTCCAACTTCAGGGCCTTGTGCTGAATTCCCACTCTCAGTGGGAATTTTGGGCCCTTTGTCCAAGCACGGCGAGTCGCGGCGCACTCAGTTAACTGCCCTTAGCAAAACATTGACCTGGGTAACGTACCTGGAATTAGGCGCCCCTATTAACAGCGGAGTCTTTTTCCACAGCTAAAACTGAACTGCTTGATTAAGCAGTTGCAGACCCRAACCCTCCTGTTTACAATCTGTGCTTTGAAATAATGTTTTATTTARAAATCTGATATTCAAGCCTGCAAACTCTGAAACTTGGAGAAAGGTGGAAAAGCAGGACCTCGGGAACAAGATCCGAACTTGGACACCAGCTGAGCTTTAAAAGCAAGAGCTATTTACCTGGAGGGATCCAACACAAATGCAAAGCAATTCAACAGCCTTAGCCACAGAGCTGCAGCTGTGCAACATTTGCAAATTTGCAATTTTTGCAAACATTTGCAAATTTTGCAAATGCAACATTTGCATTTGGAGGCTGTTCCCCTTTAAGGCATGATTCTTTGGGGTGTTTAATTGGAAAATGCAACAGAGCTAGTATGTTATGTTACTGTGAAGATCCAGACCACCTTATCTTCAATAAGGCGCCAATCATGTCCACGTGCTTTGGCTCATTTTCGGGAAATTGAGGATTTTGGTCCCTCGTCTCACTTTCTCCCTCTTTGGAGCAYGAGCTGCACTCCTGCAATTCTCTAATCCCACCTTGAAATCAGTATGGCTGATTTACTGAGAAAAAAAAAATATAAGCAGTCTGGTTACTCTTATTATGTAGAGGTGGCCTGTCCTATAGAGACATTAACCAAACCTTTGGACAAAATGTAGTCATGTATAAATATTTTGGGTAAGAAACTACCTGTTGGTAGCTGTGACTCCTTCTTGGTAGGTTTCCTGGAGCAATTTCCCAGACAGCTTAACTGTTAACTTTTCTTAAACTCAGTTCTAAGTAGGCGAAAGTTTTCTGCATCAGCCCACCTGCCTATGGCCCTCTCAGGTTGGGTGGCTCCACAATCCACCTTGTGCAGTAGAAAGAACAGAAACACAGCCGTTTTCCAACAGGCCTGAGGGGCACTATCAGGAACTGCTCCTTCTGATGGAAAGAAAGGCCCCAGGCCACATATTGAGAGCACAGAAGCATATAATCGAAACCACTGTCTGCTTTCCCCTCCTCATTAAGCAGAAACAACCCAACGCGCCATGAACACATCCTTTGTTTAGGGTGGCTTAAGAGCGCGGCGCAACGCAGCCCGCAAAGCCATCTGCTGGGGCGCCCAGCTGCAAGACGTGCTGGTAGAGGACCAACGGACCAAGAGGACAAATAAAAAAGCAAGGGCTGGCGGGAGGGCTCAGCGGCTGGGAGGCAGCGGCCAGATGGGCCGGCAGCACATCCTGCTCTCAGCCAGCGAGCGAGTCGAACGCAGGGGACACGCTGGGGACACGCTGGGGACACGCTGGGGACACGCTGGGGACACGCTGGGGACTCGGTGGTGGGGCAGAAATTGGGGCACCGAGGTTAGCGCCAGACGTGGAAGGGTGAAGATGGGGCTCAGCGCTGGGAAACAGTCTAATCCATTGCTCGAACTGAGTGTCCTAACTTACGAACAAGAGATTGAGAGAAGGATTTAGCAGGCCAGACAGCTGAGAAGGTTTTTCACCTTAGGCAAGACACTCAGCACTGAGGAGAGAACAAGGCTTCATTGTTGGAGTCGGTCAGAATTTGCATCTCTGGCCTCCCCGCTCTACTCACTTGGGCTTCATGCAAATAAAAACAACATTAACAGTTACATTTTCCATGTCAGGAGCTGCAGGTAAGGCAGCTCAACGCTTGGGCAACAGGACAAAACAGAGACTTCTTAAGCCAGAGGAARTTTTTAGGAACTTATATTCCAGCACTGAAACGCCAGCCCAAACAACAGGCCATTGAAACCGTTGCTTCTTACCTAGTCTGAGCTCTCCAAAGTTCCCACACCCAATCTTCTTGCCCACTCTGAAGTTGGGTCCCACCATAAGAACACCAGAAGATGCGGATGAACTCGATGGCCGAGTGCCGTGCCCGCTCCTGCCCGGCATCCCTTTCGTCGTGCGCTGCCTTTCATCCTTTTCCCTATTCGAATGGTCCATGATCTCAGTACAAGATCTCTGCCAGCGAGCTGGCAGAGAGCACTTGAAGGATGCACTCTTCTTCTTAGAAGAGAAATATATATCCAAAAATATCTGAGTCAGGGTCCAAGAGAGTCATGGAAACGCGCGGAGTTCTTTTGGCACCATATCCAGTTTCCTAATGCATCTTCATAATGTACCAAGTGGTCAATTATGTTCTTGAGAACTCAATAAAGGCGAGTTGCTTTTGGTTTCTTACCTGGGGAAAAGAAAAACGATACGTGAAATCAAAAATCATTATTTTAAAATACCAAGAGAGAAATGTACAACGTGGCAAACTTCCAGGATCTTCCAGAGCTATTTAGGCCTCAGAGAAGTTAACAGCTAGGTATTAACTTGACAGACTTCCTAGCACTTTGCTGACAAAAAGCCTCAACATCACAAAGAGAAATAAACGACGGCCCATCCACCGCTTCCCATTAAAGTTAGCATGCACCGCATTAATCCCAATAAAACCAACTTCAATTATACCAGCATGTCAGGTGGAACCAAGGCAAGAAGAACATGCTCCACCATAGAAGCCACTGTGAAGAACAGAGTTTGCTTTCCCTCTTCACACATTCACAAATTGCTATATAAAAGCCAGACAGATATGAAGGGGCAAGTGAAAGAGAGTAAAACACTGAAACATTTAAATGACGTGCATCTACTGTACAAAAAGTCCCACCTTACCCAGCTTTGCATCTTCAAGAGTTAACACCTCTAGGTTCTAGACCAGAGAGTCAGAGGCCAAGATCTCTTCCAGCAGCCCAAATTTATAACTGGCAAACAAAAACCTGACAGATCTCCAGGAGAGACTGCAGGACACCTCCTTCCTCGCACGCCCACACTTGTCTTCATTAGATCCCTGGGGCTGGCAACTCTAGTCTACTCCAGAGAGCACACTGGTGCATCTAATGACCACTAGCCCATTCATTTTGTCAAAAGATGACAAGAAACAGATGTYTGTGGATCCATGCAGGCAGATGGCCCAGCATGGGAAAGGGTTTGCTCTGTGCCTGCGGGCCAGCCTGAGCAGACAGCTGGTGCTGCATGGACCTGCGTGGTCCTGGCTCGACCAGAGCAAGGAACTCAAAGAGGGGCACTTCGCCATGAGGTGTACACTTGCCCTGGGTCTTTGGAGTAGCCAAGGGATCCAGCTCAACTCCCCTATGGTCAGAGGTAGCTTCAAGCACTCAGATGTGAAAGCCTAAAGCCTCTGCAGCAACAGGCAACCTGCTGGGATGGCCAGGAGGTCCTCAAGGTGGGGTGGATGAGCTGCTCCTCACACTTGAGGCAACAGGCAGGAGAAGAGAGATGGTGCAGTGTGTTTTGTACAGATGCAGCACAGGGTATGAGCACAGCTGGTGTTAGCAGAGGTGGAGATACGAGTGGTCATGACACAAGCAAGGATCTGCAGCTGGAGTACACCTACCAGGAAACAGCCCCCATGTCCCAGGGGGACCATTAGGACTCACACGTGCAAACATGTTTTTCCTGACSTGGGCAGAGGAGTGCTGCAGTGACTTTAGAAACAGAGTTTGTGTCCTGCTTTCATGGGGAGGTCTACAGCTAAAATCATTAATGGTAGCATGGAAGTTAGCAAACACTTCCAAAATCAGCAGAAAAATGTTCCCTRAAACCACCTAAACTGGATTCACTGTGGAAGGACATTGTCAGCGGAGGGCTACCAGGTACACCCCGGACACAACTGTATTTATGGGGGTTCACAGAGGCTGCCTCAGTCCTCCTGCAGTACATTCAGGACTTATTTTGCCAAGGGATTTAGAAAGGGGGTTGGTTGTTTCATGTCATGGTGAAGCTGCCCTGTCTACTTCCAGCCCTCCCGAGGCCAAAAATAAACCAAAATGACTATGCATCCCCAAGCCAACAGCATGTAACAGCAGCATTAGCTCTTCTGAAATAGGAGCATACTGTCCCTGATCTCCCAGACGTGGTACATTTGTTTCTAGACATTTTTGTTTTGATTCGAGTCATCTGTTGACGAAGTAGGAATCCTTCACGACAGATCCAGAATATGCCTGTCACCGCCAGGTAAAATTCAAGTTTCTGAACAGGTTTTTCAGCACAATTCCAATGGTTTCTATCCATTTCCTCTTGCATCTCTGAACACATGCACAAAAGAGGACATGGTTTTGCTTTCCTTGAACATCCTGCCTAGATTTTTTTTTCCCAGAAATCACAGAGCCAAAAAAACCGCAAAGATTAAGCAAAGAGCTGCACAACTTGAACAGCAGCAGCTGGGAACTACTTTTCAATGCTTTAGGTTATAGATCATGGTTATATTTTACATCAGATTGCGTGTATGGAAGCATGTGAAYGGGCTCCATCTTCACTAGAAGAGCACCTGTCTTGCAGCAGGACATTAGGAAGACCTGAAACCCTACAAAAGAGGAGCTAATAACCAAGTAGAACAGCTTCATGTGATGCGACAACTCCACAGAAACCTCCCCACCTTTAACTGTGTGTGTATCAATGCCAAGAGCCTCGTTGAGGCTGCACAGCTCGTAACCCAYGAGATACTTTACTACTTGGCAGTCCTTCTTTGCACAGAGGGAAGGGAAAGCAGATGATTTCGTGCAGCACAGAGGCAGATCCCTACAGAAATACCACATAGCACTTTCACAGCACACACAATAGGTYCGAGAGACCTGTCCTGCACGGATGCTATAGGTCTGGCTACGTGGCAGCACATAGTGCTCACGTGGTACTGGGCAGCTCTGAACTGCCAAGCTACCTAGGTACAGAAGAGCTGGAGACGTTCATGTACAAGAAACTCAACAGCTACTACTACCGAGCCTTACTTGTTCCTCCAACACGAGTAATTCAAGCTTGCGTTCAGATTCCAAATCTGAATATGGATTAGCAGGAAGTATCTCTTACAGGTAAACAGGACAAACTGGTTCTTCATCACAGATCTCCCAACATGCCTTCAGCTGCAGCGTTCCATGGGACAGGGCGAGTTAGTGTCATTCCTAAAAGCGGGTTGTATGGATAGCTGCTACAAGTATTTGCTCTGTGTATGCTCTGCTTGCAGGGCGACACTAAGCAGGGACAACTTGCCCCCAGTGAGCTGCTGGCTTAGCTTGCAGCAGCAATGACGGATCCCCTGCCAAGAGGATAAAGCCACTTCAGCTGGCTCCTATCCCAGCATGTTCTGSGAGAGGACTTGGAAGGAGGAGAAGGGAAAAAAAATAGCTAAGTCATTCGTATTTCTGAAAGGAAATTGCATGTGTGAGGATGATGAAGGTGTGTGTCTAGGGCTGAGCTACTGAGCTAGATGACTGGGAAAAGATGAGCAGCKCTTGAGAGAGGAGTTGCATGAATGAAGTAACACTTTGGAAAATACACCAGAGCCTATCAAAGCCAGAAAGGGGGATTTTTTTTTCCTGGAGCCAAAAGCCATTTTTGGTGACAGGGACAGTCTATGAGCAACAGCTATAGACCTCACAGATGGGTAATAAAAACACCTCGAGCGAGAGCACGTAAGACAGGAAAGATGCAACATAAATGGGCTACAAATGCAATTCTATTTGCAATTCCATTTTTTTTTTCGCTCTCCTAGAAAGATTTCCTATCCAGCAGCTATGAAGCTACCGAAAATCAAAAGCAAAACTGCAGTCAGCCTGAAACAACGACAAGCCCTTGGGGCTGCCACTGTGAGAACAGAGCAGCAAGTTCTGCCAGGCTCCTGTTTGTTGCTGGAAAGCATCCTGCACATCAAATTTGGGAGGCAAGGAGGACAGCAAGTTTTATGGGCTGAGGAGATCCCCACGTGATGGACTGCATGGAAGGCAGGCCAAAAACCCCAACGGGAAGAGGCAGATGACTGCAAAACAGCAAAGTCAAGAGGAACATCAACATGTTGGTAGAGCTGCAGATAGATCTTTGAGGGTTTTTCTTGCTTATCTTGAAATTCTGCTAACAGCTGCATGCTAGCTGAAAGAAAAAACAAGGAAAGTCAATATAAACTAAAGCCGCAGGAAAGGATTTTAAGACAGCTTGATGATCTGGAGGTGGCGTGGACAGAGCCAGGCTGTTTAAGCACTCCCTACGACTCACAGCATCTTAAATACATTTAACCTTCCACCGGCCCGTCCTGCCGCACTGAGTTACAACCAGCAGAGCAGAACCACCCARCTCGTTTGCTGCAGCAGCCAGTGCCTAGGCGCGGGTCTTCCCAAAGCCTTCGGCTGGCCGCTGGCAAGAGACAGCATCACTACAGAACGTGGGAGTTTTACCTGCTGTGATACCACAGTAGAGCTGAAAGCCACCAAGGGTCTCAGGCACACAGCTCAGCACGGTTCAAGCAGCTCATCATATCAGAGCTGACCTCAGTTTTCAGCTGGAGTTGCAGGGCACACCATGCTGAGGCCAGCTACATCATTCCCTCAAGGGCTTTTGGAAGCATACGTTCTTTTGAACCTTCACACAACTCACTGCCTTCTTCCCCATCCAGATCTGAGCCTCTACTCAAGGCAAGCGAGCCAAGACGTGGCAGATTTGGCAGCAGAGACGCACCACTGTCTGATGCTTGAAGCACCTTGCTCACTGCGTCTTAGATGGGACAAGCAACTTGGGCAGACGACTAGGCTGAGCTCCACCACCCATTTTCTAGCTAGTGCAACACATTTCTAACATTTATAAGCCACTACGCCCCCATGCTTCCTCGCTGCTCCTCTGATTTRTGTAGGGCTTCCCCAGGGGGAATGATGGAAAGGTCACACCTGACAGCTTGAGAACACTAAGCAGCCTCCTTCTTCGCTAAAAGCCTTCTGCAACAAGCAGGAATTGAGATCAGCAAGAAACCATGAATCACGTGTTTGATAACCTCCTTATTACAGCACATGCCATGAGCAGATCCCAGGCATTAAGTTTATATATATATATATATATATATATATATATATATTTTACTGTATTGCTCTCGATTGCTACTATCCAAAAATCCAAGTGTAGTAAATATGGCATCAGACACGGCTTAAGGACCAAAAAAGAAAAAGTGCTTGGTTTTGGAAAAGAAGTGGAGAAGAACCAAGACGAGACTGTAATTTGAAGTCTGCCACATTAATATTTAAAGACTACTCGGAACACTAGGACTCTATTTCCTGCCACGATACAAACTTTTTCATAACGATTTTCCTTCCTACCTTTCCACTCACTCAGCAAGATTGCTGCCGAAAGGTACTTGCATTGAAA